AGAGAGAGAGAGAGAGAGAGAGAGAGAGAGAGAGAGAGAGAGAGAGAGAGAGAGAGCTAATTGAAATTTAAATCTTTTTGAGGTTGAAAAGTTTAATTTTCAAAAAAGTTTTTAGAAACAGCTGAACATATTTTAATATAACATAATGATAAATTATATTAAACATAATGATAAATGAAAGAAAAAATATACACAAACAAAATATATACATACGTACAAATTAAAGATTTAATCTGTTATCTAATATTTTATACAATATATATTCAGAGCTAACTTTTAGATACTGCAATCAAAAATTCCTGCCTATAGGCGAGGAGATAACCCCTTTGATATTTTTCCCAATAAATCCAATATATTTATGTAATATATTATAATAATAGATTTGTATAATATATCTATTTGTGTAATAAATGCACTTACTATAAATACAATGTGTAGAAAGTTAAATATAGTACAAAAATATTCATGCTTTGTTGTACATAATATTTGAGATAAATGTATTTTGCACATGCCTTTCGTTAATAAAATGCCGAGTCATATAAGCCAAGTAGTTACTCCTCTCCCGGGTAGTTATATTCCTGCAACAATACTCACGTTTGTTCTCTCGCCCTCTTTATCGTACATGATGACTGACGATTGATGGGCATGCTTTGCGCTATCAAACGACTCAAACACGCGCGCAAAGTGATACTTTTACGCGAAGTGTAGTTTTGTATCACGAATTATCGCGACGTAATAAATTGTGTCACTCAATACAACTATCAAAAAGTGGCTGATGAAAAGGAGGCAAAATATGCAAAAATAAGAATTATCGTTTAAAAAGTTATTAAGAACATATAATAATAATGTACATCTGTGCAAATATACATACATATATGCATGTTATCTTAGATATGCCAACCAGCGCGGGCAGATTCTGAACAGAGTCTGCTATAAAGTATATAAGTCTGCTATATAAATCTTGATGACACGGAAAGACTACAAATCTCACACAGAATCTGTTCTATCTGACGATATCAAATTGTTGCCAGAAATCTAACAGTTTGTTAAGATGCTATACTAACAGATTGGTAGCAGCAAACAAGGAGAACCTATAATAGTCTAGATTGACTGCAGAAATCGAGTAGATTCTGTCGCCAGAACATGGACTTAATTTAAAACTTAATACAGACACAGATAACTGTTGGTTTTGTTGTGAGATCGAACTTGCTGCCAATCTGCCAGCATACTGCTAACATTTTATTTATTGGAATGCGATAGTTCTTTGCGCGTGCGTTCAAAATAAATGATCAAAAATTGGATGAGCAAATATTATGAATATTAGTGTGAATGTATGAGTCTTGAAAGATATTTTAGTAGACAAGAATATATTCAAAGATATTCTAAAATCCCTATCAAGTATGATGTCCTATCTTTTTTTTAGGCTTTTTAATCTTGAAGCATATTCTAAGATCTTTAAGAAGCTTGAGATATTTTGTTTTTTTAGACTTCAGAATCTTTTATTTTAGCAAAACAAATAAATATTAAACGTTTAAATGCTGTACAGGATCATAATATAAATACACGATTAAAAGTGTCACAAATGCCAAGGCGGTACGACTATCGTTAATGTATTCGTAAAATAAATTAAGCTATGCTACTATAGGTGTTTACGATAATTCGAGTTCGACTTAGTACGAGTTAGTTTTATTAAGGCCAAAAGATATGATAAGGGTACAAGCATCTAATATCTTCATTATTCATAACAACTCAATGATGTCCGATAAATCGAATAGAATAGAGTTAGGGGAGCGTAGCGAATAGTATAAGAATTAATAATATCAATATATATTTTCGTAAAATATGTAACAATAATATTACAAAACAATGAGTTACTACATCATAGAAAAATTAGGAGCACTGAACTAAATTATGAAAAGTATCATGTATTTGTGAAATATCCAAAAATAGAAACCTATTATTAACTAAGATATTCTGTTTAGATTGTGTTGCCAATTTTCTAACATATGTTAGAAGATTTTTCTATAATGCTTCTATTAACTCCTAATTTTTCTATAATGTAAAAACTCATTGTTTTGTAATATTATTGTTACATATTTTACGAAACTATACTTACTTGATATTGTTAACCCGGAAGTGGGCGCGTATCGATCATTTCCCCGTACTTTTTCGTTTTCTACTTATATCATCTAATCCATTGACATTATCGTATTTTTGCTTTTACGTAAATTTTCTTTGATGTTTTCTCGTATAGCATAGAAGTAGACGGCGTAGACGCGCTTATTTCTATGTAAAATTTGATACGTTTTTAGCAGTCGGTCTAAAAGACCATAGCGCGCCTACTAACGTTAGTCTTTTATTTTTGCCGCGTCAGCGTCGCTCGATGTGTCGGCGAACGTCTATTGTCTTTCCGACATCGTAGTTGGACGAACGGTTCTTTCTTTTTTTGTTGAATCAATAAAATTTTCAACAGCACGCGTAATTAGAGTATATATTCTTTATTCAATAGCGATATTATTAAAATTAATACTTGAATTATTGAAACAATACATAATGTGATAATTTTAATATCGTCATTAAATCAAGAAGATTTATTCTCTATTTCTAAATTTATCAAATAAATTTTTAAGTTTATTAAATCAATGTTTAAGTTAATCAAAGTAAAACGAGAGAAGTAAGAAATTTTTATTTTACTTTATTAAACTAAAAGAACTTTTTACTAATGTAGTTAAAAATATTATGATTTTATTTTTAATATATTCACATATGTATAATAATAAGTTTAATATGTTTCCTAAACATATTAGATATAGAAATGGTAAAGAGAAAAAAAGATGAGAAAAAGAAAAAATAGTGATATAATAAAATTATTTCCTTTAATTATTATTATGTTTCTTTTAATAATTGGATTGGTAATTTATTAATTATTACTTAATTATTACACATATATGTGCTTAAATATATTTCGGTCGAAATGACTCATACACTCCCGGGTTAATTCTTATACATATACTATTCGCTACACTACCCTCAGAGCCAACGCACAAGCACATCCGTAACATGTTACGTTATGTTAAGTACTGACAATGCAATGGCCATACTCGTACGAAAAATTAAACTTAAGTCAACGTATAAAGAAATCCGTAAACTTGTAAACATGTTACGGATGTTTTGTGCGGAGGTTTTAAGGTCAGTATTCATAGTCGAATCTTATTTTAAGATCGTCTTAAGTAATGTCTTAAGATGCGAATACGGCTCTGTAATTGGTTCATGACATCTTAAGACAGTACTGAAGATATCTTAAATATAAGATCGGATTATGAATACCGGTCTAACTCTACTCTACTCTACTCGATTTATCGGACAGCATTGAATTGTCATGAATAATGAAGATACTAGATAGCTGCTTGTGCTCCTATCATATCTTTCGGCCCTAGTAAAACTAACTCGTACTAAGTCAAACTCGAATTATCGTAAACACTCTATACTACAATATTGCTGTCAAACGTTAAATAATAATTGCATAATAATATTAAATCATAGAATCGTGAAAGACAAAAAGTGCAATAACACTTGTTAGAAGTTTTCTCGCACAAAAAAAAGGAGCACTATAGCGCTCGATGGTATTTTATATATAGAACAAAGAAAAATTCCTTGGCACTTACGTGATTAAATATTTAAATTTATGTTCCTTGAACATTTAGTTATTCGAAGGATGTTTCATTTTTCGTTTTTCCCGCACTCACGTTATTATATATCACATATGTTATATTCCATTCATAATTATGCAGCATATACGAACTGTTTTATTAGTTCAATTTACATAAAGCATAACTTGTTTCTAATGTGATATATCTAAATCGACATATAAATCATATAAAATTAAATAACTCGTTTTTGTACCTTTGATAAAGCTTTGTATCCGATCGTAGCGAGCACTCCAAAACCGAACATGAGTAAATAAGGCAAATACTTCAGACCCGGTATACCTGCTCTTTGTTCAAGTAACTGTCGCAGTATATTCAGTTTGGTATCAGAATATGGTGGGTAACGACACCTGTGTGAAAAACAACATGCTTATTTAGTTGTTAGCAAACTAAAATATTATTTTATATATATAAATATATATATATATATATATATATATATATATATATATATATATGTATATATATCATATTGTGTATGTAAAAAAAATTATAATATATATATATATTTTTTTTTATATAACATAGAGATAGATGTGTATGTGTGTGTGTGTGTGTGAGAGAGAGAGCATTTATATAAGAAAAAGTTCACTAACGTAGCCAAATTTTCTGCCAATTTGTTAAACGTTCTGAACAAACAGCCCTTGTTGTGCGTGAACGTATCGAACGAATATTTTCCATGATAGGCACCCATACCAGAGTTTCCTATACCTCCAAAAGGCAAGGTTTCAACTGTGGAACAAATAACACAATAATATAATTTTTTAAACATATGATAATGAATATGATAATATATATTATTCAACATTTATATGTATATATACATATATGTATGTATGTATATGTGTGTGTGTGTGTGTATATAACTTAGATGTAATTAAATATTATATTTGCAATAGACATGTTCAATGGAATAGACATGGATAATCAAATTAATACTACAGTAATAATACAATGTTAGAATTATCGCAACAGAACTAGACTATAAAATAGCTGTATAAAAATATTAGTACATCCACAACCATATATATAGTATAGTCTAATTTATTACACATTACAACTCTCAATACATAATATTGAAGCATTGTTAATAAAAAGCAAAATTACATTAATCTTACAAAGGCACTATGTAACTATAAAATATATAATACCTGTCATTTGCATTAATGTGTCATTAAGTACAAAATTGCCGCTAGATATAACATCAATGAACAGTGATATATCCTTTTTGTCCTGGCTAAACATATATAGTGCTAATGGCCTTTCTCTACATGTATCAAAGAAGTAACGTAAAAACGTCAGTGTTGTCTCTTTGGAATAAACCATATTATACATAGTAACAAAAAATGTATCTGCTACATCATGTTGTAGTATCGTCAAGTCAAGTCTAATATTGCAATTTTATAATTACTTCTACAATTTGGAATATTGCGTTTCTATTACATAGATATGTTACTGTTTTCTGTTGATGAGTATGCTACATTCAATGATCTACTCTCATTGTCAAATAATCGATAGGATGGTAATTTTCTGATCAGATATTCATTATTATTATAGAAATTATAGCATTATGATGATTTTCGAGATATCAGCTTAATATTTATCAAATAAATATTAAATGTATTAGATTACACAGTTCTATTGTAAAGTCTTTTGTTTATAAGTTATGTACAAAGCTGGTATGTGATGCAATTGCTTATAAAGAAAAAAAAATATATATATCTTTCAGAATCTATCTAAGAAGCATTAAGTTGCAACATTTTATAATATTAAATTAACTATTTTTTAGTAACAACACTCAAATTACCATAAAAAACTGTGAAAGAAGAACAAATGTGATATATAGTTATTTAAGATGGAAAGAAACAAAAATAAAGAAAAGCATAGGGAAAACATAAAAGAAAAATAAAAAGAAACAGGATTTTTCTCTCTCCCTACACCCTCATTAGCCCAATAAAATAAAAAAAAAGAATTCTTTTGCGTATCCATGCACATGACTACAAGCATCATTTCCTAAACAAGCTTACATATATATCACAAACATTCCATATATTACATACATTTTTCATAAATATATTAAAAAATATTAAAAGTATCCATTGAACCTGTATCAAACTTCATATTAAAAATCGAAGATTTTCAAAGCGAATTAGCGACTGAGATTCAATAAGATAATCTCAATCTCAATTTATCTCATTCTGATTAGTCAACTCCTAATCTCAAATTTATAATTCTCGGATTCTAATATATCTGGCGTGCGTTCGAAAACTCTATTCAGGTGTACTCGCTGCATTGAAGTGAGAAAGATACAGGAGTGAGATAAAGAGAGAGGAGAAGCACCCGGATGGGGTTTTCGAACGCGCCTATAGTTTGATACAAACTTTATGAAAATTTCTAGAAATTGAATAATGTTACTGTGAATATTAGTTATAGAGATACAAGAAGAAAGATTGTAAGATAAATTCAATCAAGTCCATAGATTATTAGTACATTAAGTAACAATAAAATTGTAGCGAGATCTATCGTCACTTTGATCTAGACTCACCAGCAAAATGCATTAATGTGTCGTTAACGCATACCGCTCCACTACGAGTCTGGTCAACGAAGAGATCTCGCATTCCTTTGTTGTTCGAAAATATGTATAGTACAAGTGGATGTTCACTAGGTACGAAATATTCATTAATTTGATGATATTCCTTCATATAATAAAGTCAAATTATACATATAAGAGATACAAATGTAAGATGAGAGAAAGAATATAACTGAAAACATTTTTCTAAACATAATATTTACGTGAATATTAACGACGTAAAATTCTTATTGGCTGAAATAATATATAGGATATTCCTGAATTAGCATTTATTAACTATCATAATACTTTATTCCTTATTAAAAATCAAGCCAAACTACTTTTTTTCTGTGATATTTAATAAAGTAGAGATTATTAAATAAAATCTAGTCAATTAACGCCTTTAACATGGTTGTACACTATGTGAGCCATCCGATAGTATGTGCTCTACCGTTACGTTGCTGCGCATTTTACTAAGCAAAAAGAAAGCGTACGCTTCACGAACTTGGTTCGTGTAAAAAAAGCTTTTGTAAAAAAATATTTGAATCAATTTTATGAAAGAATCATTAATTCGTTAAGTATCTTAGAAAAAAATAATTTAGAACTTCCTGACTTGATTTTTAAGGCTCTTGACCCTTCGTATAGTCTATCTCTTTTTAATGAGATCAGAAAATGCTAAAAATTTTTGCGAAATACGTTGAAATAAAAAGATATATTTATAAAATGATACTTGCAATCGATTAAATAAATCTGTGAAATATCCCGTGCATTCCTCTTTTGCTTTAATAATTAATAGTTTGTGGTAAATTAACATAACGTACACTTCATCTTCTTAACCTATTTCTTCGCATTCAGATAAATTTACAATAAATTATTGTAATTTGTAAGAACAAAAGGGGAGTGTACAAAATATCTTATACATTTGTTTAATTGATTGCAAAGTGTTATTTTATGGATATATTTTTATTTCAACATATTTTACAAGAATTTTTAGCATGCATTTTGTCGCTTCTAATGTCTTTAAAAAAGAAATAGACAATGCGAGGGGCCAGGAGCCTTAAAGCTTTTCTATTTCGCCGCAGAAAGTCTGAATTGACGGTGACACCTAGCAGTGTCGAGAACACGAAGTAACCGTGTCAGTGTAACTGATTGGCTGACAATAGGCCAGACTCACGCTAGACCTCGCTTGACACCTCGGAAAATTACTTACATTTTATTGGGTTATTTTTCAGTTTCTTCGTGAAGTGTGTATATTATCGTTATCCTCACAGCCGTAAAATGTACAGCAAACTCAGTGATACTGGTGATACAGTGTGAAAATCGAGAAATTAAATGTATTCATACAGGCTGGTATTTCAGCTGTCAAACCACCGTGACAGTCGAAAAATGTAGCATTATTTCAGGAATTATTTTACGATGCTGGCTGATATATCAGACAGATATCGAAGTTAACTGTACTTTTTACAGATTTCAGGATTAAGAAAATATTTGGTTCTTTAGGAAAAAGTAAAAAATAAAGCAATAAAACGCAAGGAATTTTCGGTATGTCATTTCTCGCACCTGACGTCATCAAACCAATATGGTCCCAGAAATAGCAAAGCCTTAATAAGAAATATCGCAACATAATTAATAAGTACTAATTAAGAAATAGGTTGTACAAGAGATGAATATGGATGCCTGAATAATTGATTAAAAACCAGACTTTAAGGCACGCAATATCTATAATAAATTTATACAATCCGCGATATTAGAGCTTCGATTGTAAGGTAAATCATATATTGTATTCAAACTTACCGATTATTGATGAATTCAATTGCTTCGTACGCGTTATTAACATTTATTATTGGCAATATCGGGCCAAAAATCTCATGTTGCATAACAGGATCCGTCGGTTTGACATCAACGAGTATCGTGGGCTCGATAAACCTCTCTGTAGCATTTGCATTACCGCCTACAACGACCTTACCGTTGTTTAATAAATCGATAAGCCGTCTGAAAGTAGAAAAAAATTGTTACGTTGAATTTTTGTTAAATATAACTGAAACGATTTCAAGTGTTTACGAATGTCATCTGAGAAAAACTGAGAAGAACACATAATCGAATCAATTGTATTGTTGATGTGTCACAAAACTCACTGGTAATGTTTGTCCGTGATTACGCGTACGAGATCGGGACTTTCTCGCGGATTTTCACCATACCATTCCGTCAGGACTTTTTTAGCTGTTTCGATGAATTTGTTCTGCACTTCGGGTGTGCACAGTATGTAATCGGGAGCGATGCAAGTCTGACCGCTGTTCATGCATTTGCCCCACAAAATGCGTTTCGTCGCTATCTCAATGTCCGCCGTCATGTCTATGTATACAGGACTGCAAATCGTTAATATTCAGTACAACTTTATTCAAATTGAGACATTTTGGTTCGGGAATATAAACGAGTTGAGCTTTGTCCATAAAAGTTAACACACTTTTTTTTCGATAATTTTCATCAAATAAAACGTCTTTTGAGAATTTCTAAAAAAAAATTTTCTTCCATTATACGTTAACTGCATTTCAAAGCACAAGGAAAAATATGCCAATCTTTGGATTCGCGATTGTACGTCGCTTTTATTGACTTTGCTGCATCATTTTCTTACCTTTTGCCACCCAGCTCCAATGTAACAGGCGTGAGATATTTATTGGCAGCCTCCCGCACGATTCTTCCGACCGCCGTAGATCCGGTGTAAAAGATGTAATCAAAACGTTGTTTGAGAATCTCTGTCGTTTCGGAGATTCCTCCAGCTACCACATGGTAACACTCCTATTTGTAAGAAGCACAATCAATTAAATGATTATCCTTTCCTAAATGAAACAAATAAACGGCTATACATACCGTGTCCAGATATTTTGGAATGGTCTCACACAAGTATTTCGATGTAGCCGGCGCCACTTCGGATGGCTTCAGGATCGCGCAGTTTCCAGCTGCAATTGCACCTATCAGAGGATTCAATGCCAGTTGAAGAGGGTAATTCCATGCGCCGATGATCAGCACAACTCCATAAGGTTCCTTCCGAATTTCCACCGAGTCAAAAACGAACGCTAATCCTTTAGATGGCTGCAACAGATCGCGTTTCAAGTATTTTGTATTTTATACTGCGCATTCAGCTCAATTGAAAAAAAATGAAGGCAAAATGAAATAATTAAACTACGCATGATATTGAAACTATGTTAACTAACCATCATACTCACTTTTTCCGTTGCCGCCCATTCTTTAATATGCATGAGCGTGTATTTAATATCTTGTAGTACGAAGTTTATTTCCGCAATAAACGACTCGAACTTAGACTAGAAAATCAGTCGAGATATGTTAATAAAAGTAGTACCGAGATTATATAAAATGTGCAATCCTTTTTTCTTAAAATTACGTAAACATACTTTACGTAAGTCCGTCTCTAACGCTGCTACGATATGCGCCATAGTCTCCTTTAACATACGCGAGATTTGCTTTAGTTGTTTTATTCTCCATTCTATCGGTCTGGTTTTGCCACTGTTGTATACATCCCGTGTTTGTTGGACCAACTGCAATAATAGATAACATTATTATCAACTCATGCTAATTCTTATTTTATTCTTATCTGATTCAAACGCTCGAGAAGCCGCGAGAGTATTGATTTTGCTTCGTCCAAACAGTAATGTAACAGTTCGAATGAAAAATTTATCGGTGACCAGAAGCGGTCGAGTGCAAGAACGACTAGTAAAATTGTACATAATAAGTATGTTACTTACGTCACTGTAGTTCGTAATATGCTTGCCGTTAGTATGCGCTACAACAAAGAAATATTTTAAATTCTTAACTTAGTTCACGTACAACGGAGACAGGTCAGTTAAAATTAAACTTTATTTAAATAACGGGTGAATTTATGTAAATTAAATGTACATATCGATAAGAGACACACGAGCGTTTTTTTGTTAAAGCAAGAGGTGAAGGTGCATCCTATATAAATATAACTGAATTTTATGAAAACAGCGATCGTACTGATAAATTTAAGCTTGTTTACGGGCTGCTTTGTACAACTGCTATATGCGGTATTAGTATAGCGTTTTCGTTTGATACAAATTTGAATCGTTCTCAGAGATATTAATAACATTATAAGCACTGTTTACGAGACATACAAGATATCTAACGTCACAAAAAAGAATTCAGAAAATACGTATATTTTTTATACTCTTAGTACTCTAGTGAGAAAATATAATTCAGAAATCGGTTCTAAGTTTTTTAAGCTTGTATCAATAGTTGCCATTTGAAACTAGATTCATGTGAAATATTCAGATTTTTATTCAGAGTTAGACCCAAGTTTTTCACTTGAATTATGATATATGTGACATTTATATCTGTAGTCGCAACTCCGCTGAAAAACTCTTATCTAACTCTGAATTCAAATCTGTATCTCACTTGAGATAATTTTAAAATAACAACTATCAATATACCTAAAAGATCTAAGAGACCTAAGAGACACATTAAAGATATCCTACTTGAACGTAGCCTAATTTAGATATTTGCCTTTGTTTTAATTTCACATCGTCAAGCGAAAGCAAAACGAAACTAATAAAGACAAATTCTTAATTACGCCGACTCTTCAAATGAATATGATACGTTACTTTAATCTTAAACCCAATGTCCATGACGATTTGAAGTGTTTTTCTTCCGAGGAGTCATATATGTCGCTAAGTTTGTTTTGTAGCGAGAAATTGGACTTTCAGATAACAGATGTTATTTTCCAAAGGTGTTACTAAGATCTCAATAACGATTCGTCATAGACCAAATATGAGCTGACGTCAGTCATATAATTACACTATATTCGACAATTCGTTAAGAATACTACAAAGTGTACGACACAAAAAGCCGTGAATATAAGAATAAACTGACTTGTTAACTTTAGCAGAACAGAGGCTTTAGATACAAAGTTTGCTAAGAGAACAAAAAGAAAAGATTAAACGTAGAAACGGGAAATGAAATAATTAAATTCACGGATTTCATTAGCATTGAAATCATTTAACGACGCCTTCTATATTGTATTAATTAAGTTTAATTATAATTTCATAATAATTCATCAGAAATTATAATTAAATAAGTTTAATTATAATTTCTCATCTGATTTATCATTCATCTAACTTCGTCTTTTACTTTGGTAAAAGTTAGATCGATCTTGTAAAATTGTCAACATGTTCAAAACTATTGCAAATGGAAATAGGCCTTCGGTCCAAAAAATTGAATCGTTATTGCAACGATAATTTTTTAAATGCGCACATGCGCGACGCATCCTAATTAACTCCACATTATACGTTGTACTCGAGTCGATTTTTAATGATTTTTTTACAACTGTTAATTAAGATGCTCATCGCGTATAAAATTACGATACTGAATATCAAGTTATCACACGTACACATGTGCATTTGATAACATATCGTGAGTAAAACCAAAGTAATATGAACTTTGTTACTTGCTGCCTTCTCTTAATCTACTTTTGACATAAATATTTAACAAAAAAAAGATAATGAACAAGAAACAAAAAGAAGAGCACATATTATAGATTAAATCTTAGTGAAAATGTGACTTGGAAATCAATTATTAACTTTTGAACTAGTTATTTAATTATTAACAAGTTATTAACTTCTTCGGGAGGAAATAGATGCAGAAAAATATGTTGCGTTCAGTGCAGAAAACTGCTTTGCAACTATTGTAAAATTTGTGAATCTGACCAGCTCTTAGATACAGCCAAGATTAAGAGCATACACTAATCAGATTCGCGAATTTAATAGTTGCAAGGCAGCTTTCTCTGCTGAGCCATTCAAAGCGAAGCATTCAAAGCGATGGAAAAAACACGATTAAATCGGTTTATGCAATAAACGGAATGACCTCACACGAACGTGTTCCACCTGATATAAACAGCGTAATATAAAGATACATACATTGTCAGTGTAACTTTCAGTCAAGGTGAAGATCTAAACGTTAACTGGAGTCTAGTCGTAAATGTTATGTAATCGACTTTTTTACTCATATATAGACTGAAACTGAGGTGATCTAACGATCCAACGAGAAATCTAATGTACTAACACGCGAGAGAGTTTCGATTCTTCCAATTCCACTTGACCAAAAACCATCTAACAATATGAGAAAATATTTTAATGATAATTTGCCTGACATCAGAAAGAATAATCTCGATATTGATAGGCACATGTCGTCGCCACCATATTTTTTACATCTTAAAATAAAAATATCAATTTCCGAACATGTACCTAAATCTAGACATTCTTATTATTTTGGTTTTTAAATACTAATATTTGATTTTTAAATACTAATATTTAAATTTTTGATATAGAATATATTTACATATTCAATACTTGTGTGGGTGTGTGTGTGTGTGTATATATATTTTGTGTTGAAAGTTTAAATATTTTTATCTAAAGAAAAGAATGTCCAGGACTAGGTACATGTCAAGACATTAGTACTTTTGCCTAAAGTTATGATCACTTAACAATCTTTTGTGGTTGCAGCTTGTTTTTTCAGCGAAATGCTTGACAATTACAAATAAACATAGTTTAGCCCACGAACACGAAGAGCCAATAAATTGACAGAAATTGCGGTTTCTTAAAACGCTTCCGAGCGTTTAAAAGGCGCTATATTATAAATTCTATAACTGTTAAGTCAGCATCTGATTAAATATTGGAAATCAAGAATTGCGGATTGAACTTTGGGATTATACCAATCGAAACAAAGTGAGCAAAGATCGAAATTAGTCGATTTGTCAAACTTTGATCTGTATTTGTATTTGCTATGAGTGAGCGTAATAAAAAAAATACGACAGTTTAAGTAAATTAAAAGAAATTTAATATTTGATCACGAAACTTTTTTACAAGTATACCAAGAGATTAATTATTTAACATTTTAATAATATCAAATGTTAATAAGAAACCGTGCCAATATAGTTTTTAATAAAAAAACAAATTGTTAGTAACCGTTGTTGGCTTAATGATAAAATGCAAGGAGTACCAAAATCTGTTCATTATGAATTTAATAGTTAATTGCATCACCAATATGATTTTTACATAGACTCTTTTCAACAATGACTGTTATATTATTCTAATTTTTTTCACTTTGTCATTGCTTATACTATTGTCTGCTTTAGCAAACCATCTTTAGATGGTTCAGAGTAGGACTATAGCATACAAACATTTTTTGATGTTATTTTTATATTTCTTATATCTACCATCAATCTGTTTTTCTATTAAACATTATTTTCATACAAAATTTAATATTATCATTTGATCTCAAACTCTTATCTCAATCCAAAAGTGGTATAAATCCAATTTGTAAAAACAGCAAGTAAATTGTTAGTCTTGTTTTTTTCCAAAGTGGATAATTTGGAAAAACAAAATTGACATTTGCTTACTGGGTTTATAAATTAATAAAGATAAAAGGTAATAAAAAAAAGATAAAGATAAACAGAAAGGCAGAAAAACTAACACATTAAGTTATCTTATTCTAGAGCTTCCCACAAGAAACTCATACTGCACTCTCAATAATATATTTTAACCTTCTACTGCCCAAATTAATTTTTCATATTTAAAAAATGTTTCATGTACATAGGATGTTTAAAACTAAAGTACTTCACACATATAAGATAAAATTTTACTTTTCTAACTTTTTATTTTCCCAAAATAGGCCTCTGAGGTCACATTGAGCAGTTACTAAAATAAAAAGGCAGTTATATTGTGACTTTTATGTGTCATATGTATCATATGAGTCAAGATATGAAGAATATTTATATTGGAGATAAATAATGATGAAACTGGAGTGACTTTAAAATTACAGTGACCTGTAGAGGATTAAAGTTGTTATATCTATCTATTAACTACAGCATAAGCATATTATTTTTTAAACAAGCGACTTTGTTTATGCTTTCTCATGAAAAATAATAACTCATGACGATAAGAAGTTAAGAAAACATCACGAGAAAAGAATTGTCATTATTCTTATATCATCCTGTTTTTGTGCTGTTTCTACCATCAATTAAATTTTAATCTGAATTTAAAGACCAATTTTTTCAATCTCTTGGTAAGCTAATTAATAGTTAAATCACGTGCGTCTTTGTCTAACTTAAAATATCTGTCAAAAATAGACATAATTTAACTGTTAGTTAGCTTATATACCAAGAGATTAGAAAAATATGCTCTTAATTTAAATCTTAAACGAGAGTACTAAGTAACGCTCATACACTTGACATTTCCGAGACAACGGAAGCTAAAGAAATATAGTTTACAATACAGCCGCGAGTGGAGCACGTTCAATGATATATGGTCGTAAATCTGGTCGATTCCTGTTTATTTCTGCAGCCTTGTGCGTAATGCGAGGCCACGGCAATTACGCATGCAACACAAAACAGTAAAAATTGCAAAGACAACACCTTACCCATAGCGATGCAACCTAATGGCTCTTCCGGTTGTCACTCTACGATTATCAGATTCGACAAAGGAACGATAGGTCGAGTATTTGGCACTTCGGTCACCGTACAATCATCGGCAAGCGTACACGCGATACGACACACTACGCGCCAAGTCCGAGAGCATAATGAAAGGAGCAAAGAGCACAGTACATGATTATGTTCGCTCTTATCTTTACCGAGAAGTGGAGAGAGAGAAACAGGAAGTAGGGGGGATGATTTTGCGAGATACGCCATGCATTACCAACATATGCGCAGATACTTCACACATTGGAAGGTCCTTTTTAGCTGTACTGTTGAACTGGTGCAAGAAATTAAAGTGA